TCTTCTTCTCCTTCTTCTTTTTCGATCCCTTCTTCAAAGAAGTAGTAAATTGCAGAGATGAGAGAGATATAGAGAGTAAAAGAGCGAATAATAATGATAAAAATAATAATAATAATGATAATGATAATAGAAAGAGAGAGAGAGAGAGAGAGAGAGAGAGAGAGAGAGAGAGAGAGAGAGAGAAGATAAATAGATAGATAGATAGATAGACAGAGAGAGAGAGAGAGAGAGAGAGAGAGAGAGACGAGAGAGAGGAGAGAGAGAGAGAGAGAGAGAGAGAGAGAGAGAGAGAGAGAGAGAGAGAGAGAGAGAGACAGAGAGAAAGAGATAGATAGATAGATAGATAGATAGATAGATAGATAGATAGAGAGAGAGAGAGAGAGAGAGAGAGAGAGAGAAAGAGATAGATAGATAGATAGATAGATAGATAGCGAGAGAGAGAGAGAGAGAGAGAGAGAGAGAGAGATAAATAGATAGATAGAAAGAGAGAGAAAGAAAGAGAGAGAGAGAGAGAGAGAGATGAGAGAGTGAGACGAGAAGAGAGAGAGAGAGGAGAGAGGAGAGAGAGAGAGAGAGAGAGAGAGAGAAGATAAATAGATAAATAGATAGATAGATAGATAGACAGATAGACAGAGAGAGAGAGAGAGAGAGAAAGAGAGGAAGGAAGAGAGAGAGAGAGAGAGAGAGAGAGAGAGAGAGAGGAGAGAGATGAGAGAGAGAGAGAGAGAGAGAGAGAGAAAGAGAAGATAAATAGATAAATAGATAGATAGATAGATAGACAGATAGATAGAGAGAGAGAGAGAGAGAGAGAGAGAGAGAGAGAGAGCAAGAGAGAGAGCGAGAGAGCAAGAGGAGGCTGCTATCTCAAGCAAATCCTCTCCGTGTCATGCTTGGTTGTAACACATGAATTATGAAGCCAAGAGTGAGGAAGGGAAAATGAAAACAAAATATATGATTTATGACCTACATACGAGACGATTAAATATTAAGAGAACGGAATCCATTGCAAATTAATGAGAATTAAGACAGAACGTGTGTTGATATATTAATGTATTAAATCAACAAAATGTAGGTGAGTAAAGGTGATGGGAAATTGCAGAAAATTAAATTTATGTTGGTTTACGAAAAATATATATCATATAAATAGTATTAACAGAACAGGATATTAAAGAAAAATTAACTTAGAATATACGTGCAATGCGCAAAATAATAGATTAGCAATGTTTATCGGAATTGCAGGAACTTTTAGAAAGAAGCAATATGCAAATAGGAAAAGTGGATAAAAAAACAATGAAAAAATATGACGTTCACAGTAATAGCTAAAAATATACAATAAAATCGATAATGAATTTAAGAATAATATATATATATATAAATATATATGTATATATATATATATATATATATATATATATATATATATATATATATATATATATATATATATATATATATATATATATATATATATATATATTAAAAGTGATCAGGAGAAAATTTTTAACAATAATAATGATAATGCCAACATCACAGGAAGGGATGAAAATGATGATGTCACTATCAATAAAAGGCACAAAAGATGGTTAATATAAATATACAATAGTGGTTATAGTAAGATGATGGTGGTGATGATGTTGATGTTGATGGTGATGATGATGGTGATGATGTTGATGGTGATAATGATGATGGTGATGATGATGGTGATGATGATGATGGTGGTAATGATGATGATGGTGATAATGATGGTGATGATGATGAGAATAATGGTGAAGATAATGGTGATGATGGTGATAATGATGATGATAATGATGATGGTGATGATGATGAGAATAATGGTGATGATGATGGTGATGATGAAAATAATGATGATGATAATGGTGATGATGATGATGATGGTAATGATGATGAGAATGATGGTGATGATGATGGTGATGATAGTAACAACACCTAATAATAACACCAACCGCAATAAATCCGCAAACAAATCAGTAATATATATTTTTTCTAGTCATTTCACTTCATTTTGTTTCATTTCCTTTTTTATCTTCATTTTGTTTCATTTCCTTTTTCATCTTCATTTTGTTTCATTTCCTTTTTTATCTTCATTTTGTTTCATTTCCTTATGATAATGATAACAACTATAATGATAATTAAATATAAAAAGTGACCTCTTAAAAAGTATATTTGTTTCCGAACGTTCTTTTTTTACGGTTTTCTTTAATAAATCTGTACCTCATTTGCATAATGGAGTAAAATCAAATATTATCATACTCGTTTACCAAGTATTTTTGAAAATATATCTAAAATAAAGGTAGCTTAAAAAAATAGTGTGGGACGTAAGTAATTTGTCTAAAATATATATATATATATATATATATATATATATATATATATATATATATATATATATATATATATATATATATATATGTATATATGTATATATATATATATATATATATATATATATATATATATATATATATATATATATATATATATATATATATATATATATATATATATATATATTACGGATAGATGTATACTTTCGTGTACGTCATAGATACGTCATAGATACGTCATCGACACGTCATCGACACGTCATCGAAACGCCACAGATAGATTAAGAATTAAATAATAAACTAGATATCATGGCAATTGTACTATTATCAGCACTACCATCATTATTATTACCATTGATACCATCATTGCTACTATCTTAGGTACCATTACTGCAACCATTAATGTTACTATTATTGATATCATTATTGCATTATTGTTACTATTATTGTACTTATTATTGCTACCATTATTGTTATCATCATTGCTACCATTATTGCTACTATCATTTCTTCCATTATTGCTACAAACACCAATGATAATAATACTATTTCCCTCCTACAACAGACGAAATAATCGAAACTTGAACCAAAACAAAAGCGCATCGAATAAACGAATCGAATCCATATCAAAACAATATCCAATCGCAACACAAGGAGAATCAGTTGATGCGATGAAGGGATGAAGAGAATAAAAGAAATAATTGAAATTGTTTGAATTTTTTTGACGATTATTTAACAAACTAAATAAACAATAGTAAAAGGCGAGAGAATAGAGAAACATACAAACGACAAGAAAAACAAAATAAACGAAAACAATCAAACAAACGGCAATGAAACACCAAAGCTCCTAAACAACAACAACAATAAACAAAAGCCCCCAAAACAAAGAAAAACTCAACGGAAAAAAACAAAGAAAAACAGCAAAACCACAAAGAAAATAAACAAAACAAAGAAAACAAACAAAGATAAACAACAAAACACAAACAATAAACAAAACAAAGAAAACAAAACAAAACAAAAAACAAACAAATACAAACAACAAAACACAAAAATAAACAAAACAAAGAAAATAAACAAAAAGAAAATAAACAAAAAGAAAATAAACAAAAAGAAAATAAACAAAAAGAAAATAAACAAAAAGAAAATAAACAAAAAGAAAATAAACAAAAAGAAAATAAACAAAAAGAAAATAAACAAAAAGAAAATAAACAAAACAGAGAAAATAAACAAAACAAAAATAAAACAAACAAAACAAAGAAAAAAACGTAACCAACCAACCAACCAAAACCCACACAAAAAAACAAAGCCAAAACAAAGAAACCAAGCCAACCCCCCCCCTTCCCTCCGTCGACCCGCGCGGAGATCGGCGCGACGGGCGCAGCGTTGCCAACCGTAATGGTCGGCTGGGCAAGTAGGCAGAATTCCTGAAGCGTTAACTTTCAACCTGCTTTCCGCGGCTTGACTGAGAGCTGAGGGGAAGGGGGAGGTGGCAACGGTGATAAAGGGGGTGGGGAGGGGAACGGGGATAAAGGGAGTGGAAGATGATGAAGGTAAGAGTTAGTAAGAGGGTGATAAAGATGGTGTGAGTGAGAGAGAATGAATGAGGCGATGGAGATAATAAAAGTGATGGGGTTTGATAGAGGATGATAGGGAATAAAGGAAACAGGGGATTGTGGAGATGATAAAGGTGGTAGAGGAAGATATGGAATGAAATAAGAATCCATTTCACGAAAAAGAAAAAATCTTCGTCTGCCTCACGGACTGCCATTCCTCTTCGTGTGAATCAGTAATAATAACTTCACTCTTTATCTATCATTTCCATTATCATCATTTCCTCTTTCCAATTTCCTCTTCGTACAGCACCTTCACAACACGCACCTACAGAGACTTTCACTCTTTACCTACAATTGCTATCATTATCATTTACTCATAGCCTTCAATTTTCTTTCAGTTTTCTTATCAGTTCTCCGTATTGCGACTATTTCACTATTTATCTATCATTCCCATAATTATTATTCACTCCTTTTAACACCTCTCCGTCCTGTTCCTCTCCATAACACGTTTCAGGGACAGTTTCACTTTTTAACTTTCATTAACATTAACATTATTTATTCTTATCATTTAATTTTCCCGACACCACTCCATAACACTGAGCCTACGATTTTTTCCCTCTTTCCCTATCATTCAGAACAGTATCATTTACCTTTCAATTTCTTCCCCTAAACAATATCAAGAACTTCGCTTAAAACTTATCATTACTATCATTATTATGTACCTTTTTCCTCCAACTCTTTCCCTTAACAACACCTCTGCGCAACACAAACGTAAAAAAGAACTTCACTCTCCCCCCCCGTCATTCCCTCCTCGTCATTCCCTCCTCGTCCTTCCCTCCACGTCTTTCCCTCCTCGTCATTACCCTCCTCGTCATTCCCTCCTCTTCATCCCCCCTCGTCCTTCCCTCCTCGTCCTTCCCTCCTCATCATCCCCCTCCACGTCCTTCCCCTCCTCGTCCTTCCCTCCTCATCATTACCGTCCACGTCCTTCCCTCCTCATCATTCCCTCCTCGTCCTTCCCTCCTCTTCATCCCCCTCCACGTCCTTCCCTCTCCCCAACACCACCTATTCCAACGCCTCTCCCCCTCCATATAACACGTACCTGCGTGTAGTGACCCGTAGCCTTGTTGAATCTGAAGGGGTCGACGTTGCCCTTTGGAAAGCCGTACTGATTGACTTCGTTGAACCAAGCCTCGACCTGCGTGGCGAAATCTGGCGTGTCTCCGAGGTCGCGGTCAAACGTCCAGGCGGCGGCGACGTTCTGGCCCACGGTGAAGCGAG